AAAAAAAAAAAAAAAAAAAAACTGAATAGGAAAAATGGGATTTCTAAGCTTTGAATAAAATAAATTATGGTGGTTGACAATATTTATCAAAACCATTCACTGATTTGTAACGTTATTTTTATACTTTAACAAGTGTAACAGTGGTTTTGAAACGAAACTACCCTAAAAATAGTCTACCAATAATGGCAACTCTTATAACGCGCATTTTTATTACGTGAAAATCATAAACTCAAAATTTTGCTGCTTTTTTTTTCATGTATCATTATTGAGGTAAAGTTTTTGTTTTTACAAAAGAAATGTAGGAACAAAATATTTATGTGAGATTATGCCATCTATAAAGATGACATACATGAGAAAATAAATGAAAGAAGACTCTGAAAGAACACTAGTGTTCGTGCTCTTAAGGGCAAGGGCATTTTAGGTGTATGTATATTTAACAAACTGTAAAATATTTAATCAAAATACAGAGCGAGTATTTCATTCATAAATAAGTGGTCACTTGGGAATACTGACTACTGAGAGAGACCTGTGGTCAGTTATGAGAACTAAGTGCGTATTTCACCAAAAACACACGTGGCCAATTGTGAGTACATAAACAAATACATGGTCACTTGGTAATTTTTGGCTCTGCTTAGTAAAGGTTTCATCAAAAAGACACGTAGTCACTTGTGAACACTAGATGAATGTTTCGTCAAAAACACACGTGTTCATTTGTTAGCACTGAGTGGGTGTTTTATCAAAGGGGGACATATTCAGTTGTTCAAAACGAGTTAATTGTGACTCCAATGAGTAAATGGTTCAAAAACAGTTGGTCAGCTGCGAGCAGTGAGTGAGTATTATGTCAAAAATACACGTAACCGGTTGTGAGTAAGTGTTTAATCAAAAGGATTCTTGATCGGTTGAGAGTGGCAACTGAGTAAGTGTTTAATCAAACTGATTCTTGGTCAGTTAAGAGTGCTGAGTGATTGTTTCATTAAAAAACGACACGTGATCAGTTGTGAGTATTGAATGAGGCTTTTATCCAAAAGACAAGTGGTCAGATGTAAGCGATGACTTAGTATTTCATATAAAATACACGTGGTTAGGTGTGGGAATTGAATGGGTATTTCATCTTAAAGACACGCAATTGAAGATCTAGCGAAGAAACAGATACAATTGCTACAGTGTATTCGATTCTGTAGATAAAGTTATGAATACTGACTTAATGAAGTGCTTGAACAACTATTTATCCACTGTCAAGTTTTATCTAATTTCATGCTACTTTAGTCTTTATTTTATGTATATAGAATAAGAAAAGACTGAAGTTATATCAACTTCTAGCTATCAAAGCTTGAAATAACTGCCAGAGAGAGGAAGTGTTAAGTAACGTCATTTTTCATCTCTTGATTTCCTTTTACGTTTATCAGAAGATAACAAATATTCAGGAGAAATGTGTCAAAAAAGTTAAGATAAGTGTAATTTCAAAATAAAATGAACATTGTCTCACCTTCAGCCTAAAGCAAACAACTCCTAAAACCACAGGAAGTGCAATTTCAAACCTATGGTCGTTCCTTACCAGGTTTTCAAACTCATGAGCAAGGCTAATATGCTGTGGAAGTGAAACGAGAAAATGTTATATAAGTTAAATATTATATTGGTGGGCCAAGTAGCTGTAGTAATTGAAAATACTGACAAACTACGATAATACTAACATCAAATAAGTAACACGAAATAAATAATTGAATCGAGTATATCACAAAGACGGCATTGCCATTTTAATTTTTATTGGTAATACTATTGTCCCCCATGGAGTCAGTTTACGCACTTACAACGCAAAAATCCAGGGTTCGATTCCCCGCGGTGGACAAAGCTCAAACTAGTAATATTATCCTTGTAGATGTTTGTGATATTATTGAACCTGAATGTTTTTTGCCGTCTGTACTTTTATTAATAAGTTATTTGTTTTACCTAATATTAAATTAAATAAAGTACTATGATTCTGGTGACATTTCAGTATTTAATTATGTGGTTTTAATTTCTAGAAATACATACACACATACAAATCCAATTACATACATGAGTTTTTTGGAAATAATTATGGAAACGTACAGGTGATACAAATATATGGGTCACAAATGAGTATTTGCAACTAAATGTTTATTCTATCGTAATTGAAATAGATTATTACAGCAAATATAAAAAGCGAAAATATTGTATATCACACTAGTATTTTGCATTTGCTTTATGCGGACAATACACCTTGTTTTATGCTCCCATAAGTTCATAAATGCATAATTTTATATTATTATTCCAATTGTCCCGTGTTACTCCATACAATCAGCTAAGTTACTTAGTTACTACTTGACCTTCTCAGTTCATATAAGCCCATACAGCCTTATTAATATTTATATTGGGACCTTGTGCGAGCCAAACTTGGTTACGAGTTTTCCATTTGACCGTTTGTTTTCAGATATCATTTCACCACATATACCGAATACTTAGGGTCACTGTCCTGCTGAACAATGTATCCCTACCCAAGATGTCTTGCACCAGAGAGAATTGTATGATGGATAGAAATTTATTTGTACCAATCAGCAGTCAGGGTGCCATCAATATTGTGCAGATCTTCAACATCATTGGTTGAGATGCAGCCCATATTTGTATTGGTCCCTTGAAATGCTTTACTTTAGATGTTGTAAGTTGGCTACTATACCTATTTTCCTCTCTACTATATAAAAAAACTATCACGTGTTGTTGCTCAACAATTTGAATTTTAGAAGAGCACACTTCTTCAGATAAATTTATTTCATTGTTTGAAGTATAGTACCTAATCCAGCCTTTTGGGTCAGTTATATTTCCCAAACAGTAGTTCTTGAGCAGTTAAACATCTACTGAGATCACTTTATGCTAATGTTCTATTCTAGGGATAACATCCACACCTGTACTTACAGTTAGGTCGTTGGTATAGTATCTACTGAGTTGTCATGTTTCACATAAAGAGTATATCCTGAGTTACTTAACACCGTTTTAAAGAGTTTGGACTGTTTACCTCGTTCACTTTTATTATCAATAGTAATAGTTTCGTGTATTCCTCCACTTTACGGTTTCCATACAGCTCCTATTGAAACGTGAAATTTCGCCTAATTCTACTGAATGAAATAACCTTTACCAGTACAAACGTTGGTTTCTCCAAATTTGTCATGTGAAACTTCTGTTCTAAGAGCCATGAGGGCAATCACTACACTACTGCTGGAAACAGCGTGATGCCTGTACTATTATAGGCGTTATGCTGGTGTGTGTTTCTTTGATTGGTTGGATGACGACCAATCACATTGTAAACCACCAACATCAGGATAAAAGTTACATGGTGGGAAAATATACAATGTATCCTTGTTTTGGAGGTGTTTGAAAAAGTATGACTCCCAGAGCAGTGGGGATACATCATCTTCCAACTTAACTTGACTAACAAAGTTTAAGAGGAAAAGTAATGTGGGTGTCCCACATTCTTGCTACCTTACGCTAGCTGTAGGAAGATGGGTGCTCTAGACAAAATAAAAGGAAAAATAGAAGTAATACATATTACCAATTGGAGATAAGTAGAAACTTATCTTATCTTATGAGGTTTGCATTCCAGGCGTAATAGTAGTATTAAAAGCTTTAATTTAGTTTAAAAGTAGGAAAAGTTTGTTTGTTTTTTTGAATTTCGGGCAAAGCTACACGAGGGCTATCTGCGCTAGCCGTCCTTAATTTAGCAGTGTTAAGACTAGAGGGAAGGTTGTTAGTCATCACCACCTACAGCCAACTCTTGGGCTACTCTTTTAACGCCCCCACCGCTGAAGGGGCGAGCATGTTTGGTGGGACGCGGAATTCGAACCCACGACCCACAGATTGCGAGTCGAGCACCCTAACCATATGGCCATGCCAGGCCAGTAGGAAAAGAACTACAGATGTAAAAGGTTCAAAATTATACTAAAAAAAAAAAGCCCACTAATATTTTTAACTAGTATAACCCCATGATATAAGTTTCTACTTACCTTCTCTAGTCATGGCCAGGTGGATAAGGCGCTCGACTCACAATCTGAGGGTCGCGGGTTCGAATCCGCATCCCACCAAACATGCTCGCCCTTTCAGCCGTGGGGGCGTTATAATGTGACGGTCAATCCCGCTATTCGTTGGGTAAAAGAGTAGCCCAAGAGTTGGCGGTGGGTGGTGATGACTAGCTGCCTTCCCTCTAGTCTTACACTGCTAAATTAGGGGACGGCTA